GCCAGCTACCCTGTAACAAACTTACCACTGGGACCAGCTACACTGTAACAAGTCTACCACTGTGACCGGCTACACTGTACAAACTTTGCCACCAGGACCAGCTCCACTGTAACAAGTTTGCCATGTGACCGGCCTACACTGTAACAACTTTACCACTGGACCAGCTACACTGTAACAAGTCTACCACTGTGACTGGCTACACTGTAACAAGCTTACCACCAGGACTGGCTACACTGTAACAAGTTTGCCACCAGGACTGGTTACACTGTAGCAAGCTTGCTACCAGGACCAGCTACACTGTAACACGCTTACCACTGGGACCGGCTACACTGTAACAAGTTTGCCACCAGGACCAGCTACACTGTAACAAGCTTGCCACCAGGACTGGTTACACTGTAACAAGCTTGCCACCAGGACTGGCTACACTGTAACAAGTCTACCACTGTGACCGGCTACACTGTAACAAGCTTGCTACCAGGACTGGCTACACTGTAACAAGTTTGCCACCAGGACCAGCTACACTGTAACACGCTTACCACTGAGACCAGCTACCCTGTAACAAGCTTACCACCGGGACCGGCTACATTGTAACCAGGTCGCCATGGTGCTTTTGTTTTGTGTCGCTAGTGTGCATGGAGAAAATGGGACACAGCAGGGGCTATGGGACCTTCAGGTGCACCCTGCCGACCACCTGCTGCCCCCCTGTGCCCCCAAGATCTTCCTCACTCTGAAAAAGAGCACAGCCCCCTAAGCCCCTAGACCTTGCTGTCCCTGATGCAACAGGACTCGGGCTCCGAGCTGATCCAGAACCTTCTTCTCACCCCTGCTCCTGCCGCTGTCCCTTCTGGTGTCACAGCTCACCAGAGCCCGCACCATCCCTCCCTCCATGTCTGCCTGTCTGTCCTGTGCGCTGCCTTTGGGCCCACTCCCCCGCCCAGTGTACATGCAGCAGGGGGCACCTCGGCCTAGCCCTGCGCACGCCCCTGTGTCAGTGGGGTGTGGCTTGCTGGCACCCAGAGCACTTCCAACGGCTCATTTTCAGAAGCAGACAGCCACGTCTTTATTCCTAGTCTTAATTTAAAAAAACAACAACTCCATTTTGAAAACCATTCAGCACCCCAGCAACCTTTGAGCCTCACAGATGGGGGCGCCTGTGCATGTGAGGGGGTAGTGCCAAGGGTCAAGGCTGAATCTCCTGGGGGGCTCCTCTGCCACCCTGATCCGATCAACCACGTATGTCTGCTACCTGCTGCAACTTCATAGCTGCCATCTTTACACACCCCTAGTGATGGTGAGGGTCAGGTGCTGGGTAGCTCTCGAAGGGTGGGTGCTCTGACTCCCTTAGGAGGCCGTCTGTCCCCACCACAGTCGTCGGGGGAACCCCAGATAGGGGCCCCATGGCTTGGATCCACTCGATGGCAGTGGGTGTGCTCTGGCTTGTGAAAATGAACACATGGCTCTAAACCCACTGAGAGAGCTGCCGCCCCAGCCCTGTCACACAGGGCACGGTCCCCCAGTGAGTCCCCACCGTGAGGGAAAGGTGGGAGCCCCCGCCTGCCCTGGAGCGGAGTCTGGCCCCTGGTGCCCCATGAGTGACCCAGGAGAGCTGTGCCTCGCAGGGCTGTTGCTGGGGGTATGGGCCAGAGACCCCCAGGCTTTTTTCTACCTAGGGAGCTCGGAGAGGGGAAGGCTCCAGCCTCCAGTCTTTTGGTTGTAGGCCCCATGCTCAGAGTGGAGGGGAGCGGGACCCGTGGGTGTCCCAGGCTCTCACCAAACCTAGTTGACTCACTGCCATTGAGTGGATACCAAGTCACAGTGAGCCCATTGGCAGGGCAGACCCGCCCCTGTTGGTTTCTGAGACTGACTGTGAGAGAAGAAAGACTCCTTTTTCTCCTGCGGAGCAGCTGGTGGTTTCGAACTGCTGACCCTGTGGTGAGCAGCCCCCTGCTTTTAACCACTGCAGCCTCATCTTCTCCCGAAGCACCGTTAGTGGGTCTGAACCATTGACCTGGAAATTAGCAGCCCAATGCTCACTTCCCCCACAGCACCCCCAGGGATCCTGCGGAGAGAGGAAAGGACGCAGGCCCACCAGCTCCAGAGGCAGGCTGCGGCTTATCTGGAATGAAGAAATGCTTGGCCGGGCCCCTCCCCCATTACGTCTCCCCAGGAGACCCCAAACCCTCAAGGCCTGGAGGCTGCACAGGGAGGGTTGGGGGAGGCGAGATAAGGAAGTGGGGGTGGGGGTGAACCAGGGGAATTAAGGACTAGTTTTAGGGCTTCCCGGTAACATGGCAACAGAGGCTGCGCCTTCGGGGTCGAGAAGCAGCCCCTCCCACGCCCGCCCACGCCCACCTTGGCGGGCGCCTGACACTGAGGAGAAAGTGAATCTTGCAGAAGGATGCTGGCCGGATTCGAGGCTCAGTCCCGTGACTGGCCGGATTCAGGGCTCAGCACCTCCTGACGGACGCCCCCTCCCAAACTTCCCCAGCGTTGCCCTGACTCTGGGCGGGGGAGAAGCTCTGAGCGCAGGCCGTCCTACCCCTCAGACCCTCCTCACGCCCTAGCCCCTGTCCAGGGACAGGCACGCCCCCAACCCCCGGCCCCCAGCAGGCCAGCAGGGGCACCGGGAGGCCCTGTCCAGGGACCCAGCGCGCAGCAGACGAGCAACTCACTGCTGGGGTGTCGCTCCAGCAGGGCTGACAGCGCTCCAGGGGTCCCCCGCGCAGCAAGCAGTGCCCCCGCGCGCCCCCACGCAGCCGTGTCCCCTACCTGCAGGCTGTTGGGATCAGAGCGGAGGGCGGGCGGAGGATAACGACCCTCCCACTCTCCCTCCGCCATCCCGAGTCTCCTCCAGCCCCGCGGGCCC